TGTGTGTGTGTATGTGTATATGTATATGTATGTGTATGCGTATGTATGTGTGTGTGTGTATGTGTGTGTGTGCATGAGTGTGCACGCATTTTTCTGACGTAATTGGACCGTAATCGTGTAAAATGAAGGGAAAATGAAGCGTTATTAGTTAGGCCCTAAAATATGCAAATCAGTTTATTTCCTATCTTATTTCTTAATAAAAAGCTTATTTCTTTCTTTTTTTTTTCTTATATGTATTTTTTTTTATTAGAATAACATCATATGATAGTTAACTGGAAAAGATTTTTCCTTTTTTTTTTTAATGAATTAACTTAGTTAAATGAAAATCCAGACAAAAATTTCAATAGTTAATTCAATTTTAATTCGTTTGTAATAGCCTTTTTTTTAAGTCATCAAAATAAAAGAAAAGAATTATATTTCATATATAATTTATGTACCTCACACGAGATACAATTCATAAATGACAAATGTAATTAATTATATGCATACTCATTGTATAATAAGCAATTTTATAATTGCACATACTTCATCATATCGCTAATCTTACTTCTGCTGCCGTTGATAGGTCTTCGGAAACGACAACTTTTCATTTTCTATTATATTAATAATCATATAGATTGAAATAATATTAATTATTTTTTATTGATATGCTTAAATCTCTTATGCATTCATTTCAAAACGAAAATTAGGGAAAAGTTTTTGTCAACGAAATTTTATTAAGTACCATTTTATCTGTTTTTTGCACAAAGCAATTTAGGCTAAATTATGGGCATTCATGTTTTTGAATAATCCGAAAAAATTTTTTGGAAAAATGATGAGCAAACTAGTTATATTCTTTTCAATCTCAATTATATATTGTAAACATAAAGCATATATCATAATGCTATCACTAATTATAGCAATAGCAAATAATCTTATCAATTATTTGACAAACAGGAAAATAATCTTAAATTAATTTCCGGATTTCAATGTACATTTATGCATGATTCCGGAGCAAAATTTAAAAAGAAAAAAGAAACATAATTGCACGATATGTTGGATTGTGTTAGTATATCAAATATATCTTTTAATTATTCAATTTTTCAAGTTATAAATCGAATTTCTCGAGCAATTTTTGTTTGAAATTCCTCTTCCTAATTTGATGTATCGATTTTATGCTTTTTTTTTTTCGTTTTTTCCTCTGATTATTATCTGCCTATCAGGTATTATACACTGAGGCTGGATGTATGAGAAAGTCTCGGTTAAATAATTGTTATCATTATATCATATTACAGCTATATTTGGTCATCCAGAAAGCTTTTCCATCATAATTAGCATCGCTACCCATCATTAAGCTTCACTATTCAATTCTTTGTCTACTGCCGTTCATAGTTGTCAAATCCGATCAATCTTGCATTTTCGAACATTTTAACTTCACTCTTCTTTTTTTTTTCTTTTTTTCCTCCTCCTTCTCAACTTCCTTTTTTTTTAATCCAGCCAAAACGCATAGTGAAAAGAGGACTTGGTTTTTCTAGCAATGCAATCAATAAGCCGTCTGTGCAATACTTTTTGATGCAGTTCATGACTGCTTAAGAAAATCTCCTTTGATGTCCATATTTAATCAATTGTTACTA